GATCATCGCAGGGCCCAGTCCTGGGGGTGAAGCAGGGGCGGAGTGCAGTTCTCAGAGCAGTTATTTGTGCTGGAAGGTGGGTGTGGGGCCCTCCTCCCTGGAGGTCAAGATTCCATTTTCTCTGGGGGGTCACAGGGGTCCTTTGTGAGTGGTGACCTCCCTGCTAGGGTGGGGTTGGGAGGTGGGCACAGTGTTTCTCACCAGCCCAGAGGTCTGATGGCAGTGCCTGTGGATGAAGATTGTCCTACCCATGAGTAATTCCGTCCAGGACACTGTAGTGCGCGCTGTACCCAGCCCCAGCAGGTGACACTGACATGACCCACAGCCTTTGATTTGCAGCAGCTGTTACTGGCTCCAGCCTGGGGTGCAGAGGGTAATGCTCTGTGTGTGTGTGGTGTGTGTGTGTCGCGTGTGTGCTACATGTGGTGTGTGGTCTGTGTGTGGTGTGTGTGGTTGTGTGTAGTGTGTATGAATGGTTGTGTGCTGTGTGATGTGTGTGGGGTGTGTATGTGTGTGTGTGGTGTCTATGGTGTGTAGTGTGTGGTGTGGGTGTGGTGTGTGGTATGTAGTGTGTGATGTGTGTGATGTGTGTAGTGTGTGTGGTATGTGTGGTGTCTATGGTGTGTAGTGTGTGGTGTGTGCGTGGTGTGTGGTAGGTGTGTAGTCCGCTGGTATGCGTGGGCGCGTATACCTGTGGTGTGTGTGTGTTTTGTGCTGTGCTCACGTGTGGTGGGTGGTGTGGTGTGTTTGGGTGTGTGGCACCAAAAATGGTGTGTGGTGTGTGGTGGTTGTGTGTGTGTGGTATTTGTGGGTGTGCCGTGTGGTATGTTTGTGTGTGTGTGTGGTGTGTATGTGTGTGGTCGTGTGTTGATGTGTGTGGTGTCTGTGTAGTGTGGTGTGGTATGTGTGGTGTCGAGTGGTAGAGGGTGTGTGTCATGTTGTGTGTGCCGTGGTCGTGTGGTAGTGTGTACTTGTCGTTTTGTGTGTGCATTGTGTGTGGGGGTGTGTGTGTGGCTGTGTTTGGTGCTGTGTGCACAATACTGTGTCGCGGCTGGTGTGTGGTTCTGTCCTGGTGCTGTGGTATGTGGTGGTGTATCACTGCTGTGTGGTGTGTATGTGTGGTGTGTGTGTGGTGTACTGTATGTGTGTGGTGTGTGGGGGGCGTGTGTGTGTGGTGTGTGGTTCTGTGTGGTAACATGTGCGTTTCGTGTGGTCGTGTGATAGTGTTTGTGTGTGTGGTGTGGTGTCATGTGTGTGGTGTGGTGTGTGTGGTGGGCGTGTGGTGTGTGTGTGCGTGTTTTGTAGTGTGTGGTGTGTGTAGTGTGGTGTGTGTGGTGTGTGCTGTGGTGCGCTCCGTGGTGTGTGTGTGTGGTTTGTAGTGTGTGTGATGTTGGTTGTGTTGTGTTGGTGTGTGGTGTGTTGGTCCCTGATGTAGTGTGTGTGGTGTGTCGTGTGGTACCCGTGTGGGCGGTGTGTGGTGTGCGGTTGTGTGCGTCTAGTGTAGTGGTGTGTGTGTGGTGTGTGGTGTGTGTGTGGTGTGTGTGTGTGTGTCGGTCGTTGTGTGGTGTGTGGTTAATGTTGGTGCATGCTCGTGTGGTGTGTGTGTGGTGGTGTCGTGGTTGTGTGTGCTGTGGTTGGTGTGGTGTGTGGTGTCTGTATGTGTGTGGTGTGTGTGGTGAGTGTGCGTGTGTGGTGTGGTATGTGTATGGATCGTGTGTGGTTGTGTGTGTGTGTTACGTGTGTGTGTGTCGTGTGGGTGTGTGTGTAGTGTGGTGTGTATGGTGTGGTGTGGTGTGTGTGTGTGTCTGTTTGTGTGTGGGGCGGTGTGGCTGTGTGGGTGTGGTGTGTGTGTGGTGTTGTGGTGTGTGTGGTGTGTGTGTGGTGTGTGTGTGGGCTGTGCGTGTGTGTATGGTGCGTGTGGTGTGTGTGTGTATGGTGTGTCGGTGTGTGTGTGTCGCTGGTGGTGTGGTGTGTCGTGTGTAGTGTTGTGCAGTGTGTGTGTGGTGTGTGTGTGGTATGTGTGTGGTGTGTGTGGCGTGTGTCGTGTGTGTTGTGTATGGTGTGTGTGGCGGTGCTTGTGTATGGTGTGGTGGTGTGCGTGTGTTGTGGTGTGTGTGTGGTGTGCTGTGTCGTGTGTGGTGTGTGGGGTACCGTGTGTGTGTGTGTGTGTGCGGTGTGTGGTGTGTGTGTGTGTGGTTGGGCGTGGTGTGTGTGTGGTGTGTGGTCTGTGTGGTGTGTCTGTGTGGTGTGTGTAGTGTGTTTATGTGTGCGGTGCTTCGGTGGACGGGTGTCTGGCAGGCAGAGGAAAGCAGTTCATCCAATGCCTGGAAGCTTCTGCCCCTTGGAGGTGGGTTGTGGACACAGCCTGGGCCTGGTAGGCAGTGGCTGAGTGCCAGCCTTGTGCCCTGGGACTGAGATCTGGGACTTTACCCAGTGGGGCGGAGAAGTTAAGAAGTGCTAGTTAGGCCCATTTCCCGCTCCTCCATGGCCTCCATCCCGGTGCCACTGCCACATGGGAGGCCTGGGGAGGGTGGGAGAGTCTGTGTCTAACAATTGCCCGTCTTCATTGAGGACTTGCTGTGGGCCGGGCACTTCCCCATGGCTTCATGGAGATTACATCTTTTATTCTCACAATGTCTCTATAAGACAGGACACCTTATTTTCCCAACTACACATGGGAAGACTGAGGCACGTAGAGGGTAAGTGACTGACCTGCCCACAGGCACACAGCCAGGCAGTGGTGGATCTGGGATTCAAATCCAGGGAGCGACCTCAGCAGTTAGGCACTAACCCATTAGGCCTTCTGGCTTGAGCAGTGAGCTGGCCCTTTCTAAAGCACTGTCTGCCCATTATTTTGTTTCTCCTGAGGCCAGCTCCAGGGGAAAAGCGAGGCTGGCTGCTTTCATTTTACAGATGAGGACCCCGGAGCTCAGAGAGGAAAAGTAACTCACTTTAATCAGTGGCTAGCAGATCAGTGCCCCCTCCCCACCCCGGCCAGGCTGGGAGCTCTTTCAGGATGGGGGCCTGTCCCACCAGCCACGTACCTTGCTCACAGCAGACCTCACTAAATGCGGTTTCCTCGTGCAAATGTGCAGGTGTTTTGCTGAGTGCTCTGGGGAGGTGGGAATGACGGCTCCATTTCACAGATGGGGAAACTGAGACTCAGAGCACAAGGCCACACAGCAGGAAGGGGTAAGGCAGGACTGAGGGAGGCAGCACATCTGGCCTGGGAGAGGGGTTAACCAGCCAGGAGGAGCTCGTAGAAGGGCTGAAATAAAGACCGACCTTACCGAGTGTTGGCGAGGATGTGGAGGAACTGGAACACTCCTGCATTGCCAGGGACACGCAGTGGCATGGCTGCTCTGGGAAACAGTTTGATGCTTTCTCTGAAAGTCCAACAGGGATGTACCACACTGCTCAGCAATCCCACTCCTGGTATTTACCATAGAGAAATGAAAACTTACGGTCCCACAGAAACGCAGGTTTTTAGCAGCTCTATTCATAATCGTCAACAACTGGAAACAAGCCACATGGCCTTCAGTGACCAAATGGATAAACAAGCTGCTACATGGACCCCAGGGAATACTGCACTCCAATAAAAAGGAGTGGACTCCTGATACACACAGTGACTTGAAGGAATCTCAAAGGCATTCTGCTCAATGCCAGGCGCCAGCCTCAAAAGGTTCTATGCTTTATCATTCCACTTACCTAGCATATTTGAAAACACAAAAGCTATAGCGTCAGAGACTAGATCAGTGGTTGCCAGGACGGAGGAGTGAGGGGAGGGTGTGGCCAGGACAGTGCCAGGGAGTTTTTGGGGTGATGGAACTGCCCGTTATCTTGATCTGGAGCTGGTGGCTCCAAAAATCTATGTGTGTGCTAAAATTCAAATAACTGCACAACTAAAGCCTGTCTATTTTGTTGTATGTATTAAAAGATAAAAGGCCACGGGGAGGCTGGAAGAGGAAGGGCGTGAGCCAGGCAACATCCTTGGCTGAGGAACAGGTGAGGGACCCGATTCTCACCAGCGGCTTAGTGACTTTCAGGGCAGCCTCGCCTGGCCGCGGGAGGGATGTGGCTAATTGTAGCTTCTATCTGGGTTCACCAGAAGGTGGTGGCTAGCAGCTGAGGTGTTGGGACAGCATCCTGGGCCCTCCAGGAGCCGGGTGATGAAAGGTTAGGCTCTGGCTTCCCTGGCAGGGTGGGGTTGGCCTCCTGTCCTGATGGCTGGCACACACTGAAGCATTAACCCAGAGTCTCTGTGTGCCAGGCGTGGGACTGGCGTCACACTTACCACCCGCCGCTGTCTCCTATCACCATGGGGCCTGTGTGTGGGGAGGGGAAAGGCGTATCCACTCCCTTTTGTGGATGAGGAACTAAAGCCAGGGGGCGTAGGAGGGTAGTTTGGCCTAGAAATGACATCACACTCACTAAAGACCGCCAATATCAACTTTTGCAGTTTTTTTCCCCAATGCGACACGGTACACTGCCTCCCTAGTTGATCCCGTCTACAGCCACATACCCCACAGTTTGATACTGTGTTCTGATGTTTGTTCGGGTGCTTTATTTTAAGACACCAGGAGGCTTGAAAATGGGAGGTGACCTGGGGACATCCCCGCACTCTGCCTCTGGCAGCCCTGGCTGGGGCTGGAGGGTGAGATTTGCCTGGGGCCACAGGACACTGAGACAGCAGGGTCCCCTGGTGGAGAGCCCAGTGGCCTCTGAGCCTGTCTATAGATGGGGATGGCTTTTCTGCCTTTACCGGAGGGTGGGTACAAGTGGGAATGAGATGCTGGAAGCAGCCCGAGGTGGGGAGTGGCACACTGTTATTCACCCTGGTTGTCATTGAAACCCCGGGAGCTTGGTTTCCTCATTCGCAGTGTGTCCGTCAGTAGCACCCATCTTGTAGGGCAGCTGTGATTAAAGAAGCCAGGGCCACCCCGGAGCCAGGCTCTGAGGCTTCACCTTACCCCGTTTACACTTCTGTCTCCTCTGCTTAGATTTGACTGACTGAGGACGCGACGGGCACTCAGCTTCTCTGCATCTCTGTCGCCCAGCGGAGGGGCTGGCACATAGTAGGTGCTTCTAGCCTGACTCAAGATGTTGCTGGGGGTGGGGAGTGGGGGGCTAGGGAGGACCATGGGCAGACCTGGGGTGCCAGGAGGGGCTGGTGTGAGGCTGATGGCCGGGAGGGCAAGGCCTGAGCAGGGAACCTAGACCACCTCAGCGTCCCTGCCAACACCCCTGGCAGCCTTCTCTGGCTCTCCTGGGTATGAGGGCACCCCATGCCCTTCTTCAGTCCTGGCAGGTTTGAAGGGGGGTGGCAGGGAGACGGCAGAGGGGCTGACTGGCCTACAGGATTGGGCAGAAGTTTGGTGGGGACGCAGACCCCAGACCCCAGAAGCCCCTGCCCCAGGCTTGGACAGACCCTGCCGTCTTCTAAGCCTCGTTTGCCCCCATGAATCCAGGCTCCTTTCCTCCCCATCCCCCCAGGAAGCTTGGATGTGGCCGCCATCCAGGCCCAAAAGCCGTCTCCTGGGCCCTACGCCTCCAGGGCTGGCTCTGAGGCACCTTGCAGCCTGTCAGATGGCGTGGGCTGTGTCCACCTGAGCAGACCGGCTCCCAGAGCCTCAGGGGCCTGGAGAGCGTCGCCTCAGCCGTTTGACAAGAAAGACGGCTGTGCTCCCCTTGCTGCCCTGGGCTCGTGGGGAGGCCTCAGCAGGCCTGGCGTGGGGTGTGGCCTTCCCCTACGTCAGGCCCCTTCCCCTAGAGTCTGGGAGCTGGGGAGGAACTCTGGCAAGAGACCGGTGTCTCCCCTCAGCCCTTCTGCAGAGGCCGGGCTGGAGGAGAAGATGGCGGCCAAGCAGCCCCCGCCTCTGATGAAGAAGCACAGCCAGACGGACCTCGTGAGCCGCCTGAAGACCCGCAAGATCCTCGGCGTGGGCGGGGAGGACGACGACGGGGAGGTGCATCGCTCCAAGGTGGGGTGCAGAGCAGGGGCCTCCGGCACCAACTGGGGAGGCCAGGCTGACCCACCATAGGGGACAAGGTTAGCCGAGGCCCAGGGAGCCGCAGGAGTTCTGGGACTTAGCTCATGTTCCTAGAAATGTAACGGCAATGCCAGGGGAATAACGAGATGGTTAGAATTAAGTGCCTATTACATGCCTGGTTTTCCAGCAATTGCTTTATAAGCATTTTTAAAATCTTCTTGTTGGCACTAGAAGATGTAGATACTGTAAAATTATTAACCCATTTTATAGATGAGGAAAGGAAGGCTCAGAGAGGTTAGGCAACCTGCCCACGGCCACACTGGTAAGTGGCAGTACCAGGCTTCAAGTCTGCGTTTGGCAGAGCCCTGAGCTTTCATATGTCACCATCATATTTTCAGCTTCTTTTAAACCCTAGTGTCAAGGGGAAGCAGGAGAGGGGGTGGCCTCATGTGACCCTCCCCACCTGGGGGACCCTTTGGCCAAGCCGAGGTGCCCAGGTGGGTCCCTGGGTGTGCAGGACTCGGGAGGATGAGTGAGTGGGGGTGCTGAAAACTGCCCTCACCCTGGTTGCCTCTGACCCCCTCTGTCCACAGATCAGCCAGGTCTTGGGCAATGAAATCAAGTTTACTGTTCGGGAGCCTTTGGGGCTCAGGTGAGCATTTACCTGACTTTTGTGGGGAGGGGAGGGGTTGACGGGAGCAGAATGCACAAGAGCCCACCTCATTTGGCCTGGTCCCTGGATTTTGTCTCATTACCTCCCCCAAACCTGCCATCCCTGGGGATCTGGGCTGGAGAGGGAGGGTCCCCGGGGGCAGGGCTGTGACCTTCTCTCCACGCCTCCCAGGGTCTGGCAGTTCGTCTCTGCTGTGCTCTTCTCTGGCATTGCCATCATGGTGAGCCCCCACCCCCGGCCCCTGAGATCTGGCCCCGTGTGGCTGCCCCAGCCCTTCTCAGGCTCCCTGGGGGTACCTCCTCCATCCTGGCCCCTCATGCAGGGCCCATCTGTCAGGCTCTCGGGCTGCCGGTTCTCGGGCTGCCTCCGAGAGCCTGACTCCTGCACTGCCACACCTGTGCCCTGTCCAGGAGCACACTGGATGCCATGTGTGGCCTGACTCCTGCACTGCCACACCTGTGCCCTGTCCAGGAGTACACTGGATGCCATGTGTGGCCTGACTCCTTGTCCCAGGAACCCTGGAGTTTGCTGTCCTGGCATGGGGGCGGGTGGGGACAATCAGGTCCAGACCCTGGACTGCCTATAAGGATGCTGATCCTGCTCCTGGGGGGAAGGAAGGCGTCCGTGGGAGGCGTCAGCTGTCACCCCCCACCGTCTCCCAAGCAGGACCTCTAAGCCCCTCTCGCTGCCCGCAGGCGCTTGCCTTCCCTGACCAGCTCTATGATGCGGTCTTTGATGGAGCCCAGGTGACCAGCAAGACCCCCATCCGCCTCTACGGCGGTGCCCTCCTCAGTGAGTACTGCTGGGGCGGGGCCTGGGGGAGGCGACGGGCAGCTGGGAGACCCAGCAGGGCTGAGGAGAGCACAGGGGTCCGTGCCCGGGCACCCCTTCCTTTCTTCGGGCAGATGCTGCAGCCCACGCCCCGGCCTCTGATGAATCTCTCTGCTGGGGATGTGCTGCCATCTTGTGGCCATTGGTGGAATATACCCAGTGGGTTGGAACTTGCCGTTGCCACCTTCTGCAGGGAGCGCTCCTAAGTGTGTGCACTGCCCTGGGCGTTGTGGTGCAGAGATGGAGGCGGCCCAGGCCCAGCCCTCTAGGACTTCACAGCCTAGAGGAGAGGCAGATCAATTCAGTGTCTGCAAAACCCCTCGCACCCACCCTGTTTTATCCCCAGAGCCACCTGTGTTTCCTCTCTAACCTGAGATACACACGTTCGGATTTGGAACTAGTTTTTAAAGCTCAGCATAGGTAATATGCCTCCCTTTCTACAAAATACTCCATGGCTCCCTATTGCCTACAGAATAAAGGCTCAGCTCCCCTGGAGTTAGGGTTGTTGGAATAAAATAAATACACACCCAGTGGCATGTCTGGTACCAGCAGACACTGGGTGGGCGGGGCCTGCTAGAGGCCAAGTCAGTGGTTCATCCCCCTCCCCCTGGGGAGTTCCTTAGAGTGAGTTCTCAGTGGGCTCAGGTTTTCTGTCTGGGACTCCGTGTGAAAGAAAACCCGATTATAGGACCAGGTAACCCATTAACTCATGGATTCCATCAACACAGCATCCACCTGACAGAACTGGACGTGGGCAGGGGCCAGGAGCTCAGCCCTCCCCCTTTATAAAGAGATCGAGTCTCAGCATGGGGAAGTGACTCGCCCAGGGTCGCATAGGGCCTTAGAATGACAGGAACAGACTGAAGCAGCAGCTTTGAGTCTGGAGGGACAGGATCAGGGACAGACAGCCTTGATTTGAGGAGTGTGAATGGGGCGGAGGCGTGGAGTCCAGGACCCCGGCTGTCTTGCAGCGGTGGCCAGAGGAAGGAGGAGCCTCCTGCCCTGCTGGGAGGGAGCCAGCGGTCCCACCCCCAGCCCCCTCTTCGTCCCCTGCCCCAGGCATCTCCCTGATCATGTGGAACGCTCTCTACACGGCTGAGAAGGTCATCATTCGATGGACCCTGCTCACTGAAGCCTGCTACTTCGGGGTCCAGTTCTTGGGTGAGTCCTGGGGTGGGCAGTGAGGGAGGCTGATGGGCAGCTTCGCCCCTGACCTGCCTGCTCTAGCCACTTGGGTGTGTGGGAAGTGATGAAAGCCTGTCTGTGGGGGGCTAGTGAGGGGAGAGAGGGATAAGGACTCACCTGGCTGTGTTTACCTGTGCGCCTGCACACCTGTGCACACGTGCCTAACACACATGCCTGTAGCTTCCCACATCCACACACTTCTATCTCTGGCCTTGCACACACATGCGTCTGCAGCCCCCGCGCCCGCTGCCCACTGGACCCAGCACCTGTGTAATAATGTGCGCTCAGTTTTGCCCACCTGCTGTGCCCCGGTTCCTGTCACATGGGAGACATCGGAGCAGAAACATCTGTGGGGTTGGCAGGGGCAGGGGGCAGGTCCTGTGCTTCCCACCTGGGAGGATCCTGGGCTCAGAGTGAAGTTAGGGAGGTGGCCACACCAGCGCTCCGGGCTGGGGGGCGGCCCCAGGACACATCCCCTCCTCTGACCCTGTGGCCTTGCCGGCCTCTCTCCCACAGTGGTCACTGCCACGCTGGCTGAGACGGGCCTCATGTCCCTGGGGATCCTGCTGCTCCTGGTCAGCCGCCTCCTTTTTGTCGCCATCAGCATTTACTACTATTACCAAGTCGGCCGAAGACCCAAGAAGGCCTAGCTGCCCGCTGGGCCTGGGGCCCTGCCCATGCCCAGGGCAGAGTGGCGCTGGGGCCTCGGCTTCCCTCTGGCTCCTGGCAGACAGGAGGGTCCCCTGCCCTGCCCCAGCCCTGCCCCAGGGAGGCAGGGGGTGGGGGGCCCTCCTTTCCTCCTGGCACCCCGTGTGCTGTGACCTCCTCGGCTTTCAGGCTTGACATGCTGGTGTGGGGAGAGACAGGGCCTCTGCTGCCCGGTTCCTCACCCTCACAGTGATACCTGCTTTCCTTGGGTCTCTCGGCCTCCAGACCCCCTCAACAGACACTGACGAAAGTCAAGCTGGAGTCATGAGGGTAGTGGGCTAAGTCGAGGGTCCAGCCTCTTCTGCCAGGAAGCCCTTCTTGCTTTTGAGAGATGCTGTGACCACCCCCATCCTTCTCCCCACACCCCCAGCCAACCTAGTGCCCAACCAGCTAAACTTGCCTTCCCTCTAATCCTGGAAAAGCCTGTACCCCTCCTCCCCAATCTGGCCCTCTCCACATGCACACCCTGAACACACATACAGACACAACACACACACACACACCCCCATGATGTGAGCAAGCACGTACACATCACACACACACAGTCTCTCACACACACACACGTGCACCTTCACAGCCCAGCCGAGGGCACGCAGGCAGGGTGTGCGGTCTGAGATGGCACCTCCCTTTCAGCCGTTCTTCGAGGATGGGCCACACACAGCTAGACGCCCTGTCCCCACTCTCCTGGCCTGGCGCGATGAGCTCTCCTGGGACCTTGCTCTAGGGCACTCTGTCTCTACCCCAGGACCCCGGAGTCCCCTGGGAGCCCCCTCCCTGCAACCAGCCTGAGTTCAGAGGCAGCCAGCAGCTGCACCCACAGGCCGCACGGACAAAGGGACACACAGCCCCCAGTGGAGACCATTGTAAGAGGTGGGGCTGGGAGAGGAGGAACAGAAGGAAAGCCATAGCGCTCCCTCGCCCTGGAATGTCCCCCAAGGCCTGATGGCCACTGGGCTCAGCCTGTCCCCCACTCCTCCCTGTTTCCTGGTGAGCTGTCCCCAACACCTGCAACCCTGGCTGCCTCCAGGGCCTGGCTGAGTGGGACTGGGTGGCCCTCAAACTCAGCACAGGAAATAAGTAGAAACATTTCAGCAAGCCGCCTCCCTTTATCTCCCCCACCCTGGCACCCTGGCAAAGGCTGACAACTGGCTGTCTTGGGGCTGAAGAGCCCCCCCCCCGCCTCTCCCTGAGGGCCCACCAGCCTGTGCTGTACACCCCCCATTAGTCCCTGATCCCAACCCTCCCTCCTGCCAGCACACCGGCACACATGGGAAGGGGCAAGCCCCAGCCCTGGGGACAGGCGTAGGGAGAGAAGCAGCCCCAGGCCCCAGACTGGCTTCCCATCCTGGCATAGAGCCGGGAATGGCTGGAGGGTGTCTATATGTACAGCCAGCTCTGGCTGCTGCCAGGTGGGCCCCTGCCGGGGGTCCTCACCCCTGTCCACTCTGTGCCTGGCTGTCCCTGCACCCAGATACAGCACCACGGCCTGTACCCAGCAGAGCAGTGGCACCACTGTGGTTCCAGTGGATGCCCCAAGGCTCTGCTTGGTAAACGTGGCCGAGCAGAATGGGAGGCTGGACCCTGAGGAAGGGCCCCTCTCCTGGCATCTGTCTCTCACTACCTAAGCCTGTGCCTCTCCCTAAAGAGCTCCTCCCTGCTGCCAAGCCCTGGTCTGGCCACGAGCCACTACTGCCTCCCACCAGTGGTGCCGCCAGCGGGCAGTGCCCTCGGGCCGAAGCCTCAGTCCCCCATCTGAGCCAGGCCTAGTCCTCTAATAGGGATGGTGGCTTTGTCCTCCCATCACTGCAGGTGCATTCCACCTGGGGAATGAGGCTGCGCGCTGGGCGTCTGCTGGCCCTGAGACATCCAGTCTTCCACACTCAACCGTGGGATGGGAGGGTGGCGTGGCCTTACCCACGGGGCTGGCCAGGCTCTGGTACAGAGCTGTGCTCACGAAATACCGGGTGGCTTGGTTAGACCTAATTGTAGTGGAGCCTGGGGGAGAGGGTGAGGGAGGGGACTGCGGGTCAGGTAAGACCTGGAAGACAGACGTACAGCCGGCGGGCAGGGGGACTCAGGCAAGGAGGACTTACAGTTGGGAAGGAGGCAGTGGCAGAGGGGCGAGGGACAGGGGGGCCCTTAAGTCCAGCGAGGAAAGCTTCATGTGGGCCCCGCACTGCGCTCTGTTCGGGGTGACCTGGAACACCTCTTTTCCCAGCTCCCTCCAGCCATCAGCAGCCTCTTATCAAGCTTCCGTCTCACCCCAGTCTATCCCCACCCCCAAATCAAGACCACCTTTCTTCACGGTCACTATTTATTCTTTGTTCCTTTTTCTTTTTGTAAGAAACAGTCACAAAAACCAGTGCAAAACCATCAGTGTGGGCGTCCTGTTTTATATTACAAAACTTCCTCTGGATATATCATATAAAACGGGGTCTCACAGGAGAGAAACGTGATAAATTAGCTCTGCAATCTACGGCAAGGAACATAGACAGTTTTTAAAATAGACTTTCAACATATGAGGGAGGAAGGGGCTTCTGGGGAGATGGGGGTGCTGGGGCCTCAGCTGGTTTGGGGAATCCTGTCTGGGCCCCTCAAGCACGGATAGAGAGATGGACAAGGGAGGCTGCGGACAGGCCTGAGCACCAAGGCTAGAACTTAACAGAGACCCTGGGGAGGAGCCCTCACCCCCAGCCCATAAAGAGATACTCCTTTTCTCTAAGAGGCAGTAGCTTCAGAGCAGCAAAGTGGCTTTCAATACAGGCAGGGTTTGTGATGAACAGTGTAGTCGTCTTGTTCCTTGTCCTGTTAGCGGGGTCCGAGGAAGTCTCTGTTGTGAGCTGTTGTATTCTGGGGTAAAAAGAAACGAAGAGGTATCCCTGCCCACCCCTACCCCCAGCCACCACCAGAACCTGCTGTGGGTTGTATCTGGACCAAGCCAGCTGAACCCTGTTCCTCCCTGTGCTGTGGAGGGAGGCTCAAGCCTGATTTGGGCTGAGCTTTCTTTGCCTTGCCTCCAAGAAATGGCCTCAGGCAGCCTTGCAAATAGCTACCAGCCTGGGCGAATGCCAACAGGAGCAGAAAACCGCCTGTCTTCCCTTTCCAGGCTAAGGGGATGGCCAGCGGCTGGCTGGGGAACTGAATCTGGGCTGACTGAGGGTTCCTTGGCACATTTGTGGAAAGCCATTGAGAAGCAGCCTGTGTCCGCCCTTGAACCCACCTTAGTCAGATTTCCCTTTGGGACCAGACCTTTCTCCTGGGTTCTCCCTCTGACTCGTATGGGCCCTAGAAGCCTGGGATGCCCCTGGATTAGAGCCATAAAGCTGTGCAATTTGCCTCAGTCCTGCCCAGCATGGTTTTTTTGTTTTTCCTTGTCATTCTCAGACCAGACATTTGCCTCTTCCAAAAAGCTGGGGCTAAGCACGTAGGTGGTTCAAGAGGGGCAGGTCCCAGGCCCCAGGCTGGGCTGCGGTACCAGCGGCAGGTCCCTAGGTCTCGGGAGCTTAGCTTCTGTGGAGCTCAGGTGTCATTTATGGGGCTGCCAGAGCAAGCTGTTAAAGAAAGACTGAGCTCAGAGACCTGGTGGGAGGGCCAGGACTTGCAGGCACAGCAGGAGATTGGAGGAGGGTCCACCTGAATCTTTGCAGCAGGCACAGAGCTTCTGGCTGCATCTCAGAAGGGGGCAGGAGCACAGGCCAGGGAACACTGGGCTTTAGGCTGTGACTCCGAGTGTCCCTGGTGACTGGAAAGCCTGAGGGGAGACTGGAGGCTGATACAGGGTGCTGGTGGCTTGTGAGACAGAATGAGCTCTTCCTGAACAGGGAGAGAGGGGAGAAAAGACAGCAGACATCACACTGCTCCTTCCATCCCTGCTCATGGCAGACATCACTAATCAAACTTATGGTGCCTGGCAGACATCACTCATCAGGATTGCACCGCATCTCTCACTGAGCCCAGACCAAACCTCAGATCCCCAGCACAGCCTCCAGCAGCCACCCCTGATCTATCAGGATAGGGGCATCTTGCAATCCAGCTGCCAACACTCGTCTAGAGTTTGAGAACTGAATACTTGTGGGTGTGCGTCTGCGAGTCTCCCTGCCCAAGCCTGGAGGGTATAGAGGGTATACTAAGAAATGTGTGAACAGTGAAGAGACAGGAAACCTTGTTGCAGCAGAAATGGCCTCGATGCCTTCAGGATTCTTTAGTCTGGAGAGAAGAGGGCTCAGGGGAGTCAATGTGTGACCTTAACACTCCAGGAAGAAGAGCAGGCAAGTGGGATGCCGTGGACGGAGCCACAGAAAAACAGAAACCTCTTCTGTATATTAAGCTGATGCTAAAGTCAGAGCAGTCCAAAGGCAGGAGGCTGCCTTGGGAGGTAGTAAGCTCTCTGTCCCTGGAGGTATGCAAGAAGAGGGTGGAGAAGTCTTGGCAAGGATCTTGAAGATACCCAAGCCTCAGTTCTGGGTGTGGAGAGGGAGACCCAGATGATCTTGGGGATTTCTTCCACTCTGGGAGCTGGGGAGTTGGGGAAAGACAGGGAAGGGGGTGGCTTGTGGGGAGAGGTGGGCAGTGTGGACAAGGGAATGTGAGGTGCGCCCCTGTGTGTTCCTGGGGACTCGGAGAGAGAGGTGTAGGGAGGTAGGAGGGAGGGCACGGTGGGAAGTCATGGAATGGTGTTTTCTTAGCTGTAGAGCAGGGAGGAGGCGGTTCCTGGCTGGCTTGCCCTCTCTTGTCTGGGGGAACCGGAATGCTGAGGCCAGGGGTGCATGTGGGCAGCAGAGCTGACAGAGCCCTGGATGCAGTGACAGCAGCCTGGAGACAACTCAGATTCCGTCATGCCTGTGCTGTGTGTCTGTGGATGGGCCACTGCCCCTCTCTGGGCCTTTGAGATTATTTGGTCCAACAGATGGGGAATGCAAAGATCCTGCCAGCGGGGCCATTCTTGGATGCCATTTCAGCAGCTCACTCTTGACCCCGGCCTGAACAGGGGACAGTCCATCCTCCAGTGGACCAGGGATTGCGCTGTGGGTTCCGAGTCCTCAAGGATGTGCCAGCTGAATCTCTGTGGGGCTTTGATGACTTCTCTGAGATTTGCTTTGTCCTCCTCGTTGCCTAAATCCTCACTTTCTTGGCATCAGGTCCTGGTGCAGTGAGGAGAGAGGGCCCAGGGTCTGGCTGGACCAACAGGGGCACTGGGCCTGGTGTTCCTTTGGTCTCTAGAGCAGCCTACATCCTGGGCCAGGCGCTGTGGTCTCTGCAGAGAGCCCACGGCACCTGCCCTGAGTCCAGGTGAGGATACATCAGTCCATACTTTTGTCTTCATTTTGTTTTGTTAAAAAAATAGCTCTATGCCCCTGGCCCTTCTCCTGGCCATCTTTGATGGCCTCATCTTCTCCCCTGGGGCCAAGAGGACAGCGGGGAGGGGCAGGGGAGGGCATCGGGTGCTGGGCAGTGGTGGGTGGGGCGAGTCTTCGGGCCTCAGGCCACACCCTCTACTGGATGCCCCGGAAGAGGCACATGGCGAAGATCATGGCGAAAAGCTGCAAAAAAGGGAAAAAAGCAGAAACTGGCTTATCAGGCTGGGCTCTTTGTGGGCTGCCTGGTCCACTCCAGGGGAAGGGTCACCTGCCTCCGGGGCAGAGTGAATGCCTGTCCCTCTTAGCACACTCCTCCCGTAGGGATTCCTGACATTCCCCTGGGGCCAGCCCTTCTCACCAGCCCATACCTGGCTTTATTTGGTGGAGTCAGGGATCAGGAAGACTTTAGAAACTGAGTCTTGGGTTCAAATCCAGCTCCCTGACATACCAGGGGGTGTCCTTAGGCAAAGTACTTCCCTGCACTGGGCCTCAGTATGTATCCAGAGCTTGCCATGTGCCAGGCACAGTTTTAAGTGCTTTCTTGGGAGGTATGTAACCTACCTGAGGTCACATAGCCACCAGCAGGGGAGCCAGGGTTTGAGTCCCAGGCATTGTGACCCCAGAGCCCATGCTCACAACCCCTGCAGGCTCCCCTCCAGCTTACAGGAAGGTGGTGAGATATAAGTGTAATGCAACTACCTAATGACGTAATGTGTCTGTTATCTAGAAGATGCTCAGTAAAGGTTACCAGGACTGCTATGAATAGGCAAGCAGCTGCAGCCCTTCCCGGATTTAGGCGCTCCATCCCTGAACACCTGGCTGAGGGCCTGGGGTGGTGGGGCAGGGAGACCCTAGCTCACGGACTGACCAGATTTGCTGATGTCCCCATGGCCAGAGCTCACTGCAAGTAGCCGAGGGAACAGTCCCCAGACCACAGGTCATGGCCAAATCACCAGGAGGCTCACTGGCATGGGGAGGGGCTGCCAGGACGGGGCCACGTAAAAGTATCCGTCTTGAGCAGGATTCTGCCTCCCATGGGGCTGGCCAGCCAGGCTCATGGGCTGGGCTGGGAGTGAGGCAGCAGATCAAGTATATAGATGCTGCTTCCTGAGTCCCAGCGGCATGCCGTCCCCGTCATCTGTAATCCCTCTGTGCCCTGGGAGCAGGGTGATCAGCCCATTTTGCAGATGAAGAAACTGTGACTCAGACATCCCGCATCTGGAGCGAGGCAGAGCTGGGAGCCGGACTCTAGGGCCCATGCTCTTCCTGCATGGGACACATTCCTGAGAGTTCCCTGGGCTTGCTGCAGATTTCCCTGGACTTGCTGCAGATTTATCGTGTTCATTGTTGCCTCTCATGAGGGGACTTGTTCACCTGTAACAGTGCTGGCGCAGAGTAGGGCTCAATGTGTGCTTGTTGAATACATGAATGAATAATAAATGACCCCTCTCTCTGCCATCCCCAGTAGCCTCCACGAAACTGCACTCGGTGGGCTGCAGGCACAGTGGGAAACCAGGCAAGGCGAAGTTCATGGTGCCAGGTGCCCAGGCTGCTGGAGGGGGAAGCTGAGGATCCGGCTGCCTGACTTCCTACCCCCGCAGGCCGAGGACTGGCTGAGGCCCCAGAGTGCCCCTTCCCGGGTTTGGTTAGGTGTGGGCAACGCTCAGTTCAGCCAGGCATACATAGATCCCAGAGGACAGAGATGGGAGGCGGCCGCTCCTCCCTTTGGCTGAGGCGCCACCTAGTGGTGGTTGCAAACGGTCTGCAGGAGCTCACCTTTCAAGGGGCCCTTAGATAAAGGAGGCTAAGACCACTGTTATGGATGAGTAAGGCCCCGTAGGCCCTGAACACCCCACAGAGAAAAGGCCTGATCTCGAACCACGGGCTGCAGCCTGTCTTTCAAAGCAGCTGTGCCGATGCCTCTGCAAGCGTGAAATCTCTCTGGACCATGGAGCTGGGGTGGAGGTGGGGATGGGGATGGGGGAGTGGGAGGGAGTGGGTATGACATTCAGGGCCTGCCCATGCCCACTTCTGGGACATTGGCTCCCATGTTTCACCTCCAGAGTTCAAGAATGACTCTCAGGCAGCAGAGACACAGCCGGGCTTACCACCCCATATGCCCACAGTGGGGGCCCCTTGGGTCCCAGGTGAAGGAAGTGAAGAGGGAGGAAGGCTGGGGGCATCTGCCTAGGCTCCAAGTGAGGCTTCATCCTGGGGAGCGGAACAAGTGGAGGCCTTTACTTACCTCGATGGCCAGTACCCCGATGGCAAGGGCTCCGGCCAGGTAGACGTAGGTTTCGAAGGTGTTGAGGATCACCGTGTAACAGCCCTTGGAGGGAGGGATGAGAGGTGAAGTTATGGCCAGGGGTGAGAGTACTGGAGTCAGAGTCAGCATGTGGACTAGGGTTCATGGCACGTGTCCCCAGAGCTCTCACCCTATCACACGGCTGCTGAGACAGGACAGTGGGGAGGGGGTGCAGGGCAGGAGACCCAGAAACAGCGACTTGGCAGCAATGCACCAAAGATCCTCCTTGCCACCCAGCCCCTAAGGTAAGGCAGAGAACTGACAGTGTGCAGGCCATGCCTTATGTTGCTACTACAGTGATTGGAAGATTGGGAAATTTCCCACAAATATCTGAACCTCTGGAGCAATCAGAAGAACCAACAAGGGGAGCTATTCCTTTTCACATCAGCACCGTCAGCAGCTGCTGCCTTCGGATGCAACAGGTGCTCCCTGGGGTTCGCAGGATCCCCCCACCCCATTCCCTATTGTCCCACACCCACTCCCCTACTGTTCCTCGTGACCCGCCTGGCTGCAGGAGTTCTGGTTTTCAGCCACTTCCCCAAGGAAACACAGCCCAGTGTTCAAATCCCTGCTCGCATGCCACCTCCTTCAGGCAGCTTTCTGAACCAGCCCAGCCCACAGGCTCTGGAGTTAATTCCCATGCTCTTACTGCTTTCTTAAGCAATCCTGGATAGATATAAACTGAGGCAGCGACAGAGATCGAGATCCAGATAGAGACTGAGATAAATAGAGAGGAATGGGGCGTGGGGAGACAGAGAAAAAGCAAGCCAGTGCCAAGCCAGGAGCTGCCAGTCCATGGCTGCGGCCCCTTCTGACCCTGAGCACCTCACATCTCTGTCATCTTCATGTTCATAACTCTCCCCTCCCCCATGCTGACCACAGAGACTGATGCATGGTACTTGCTTTGAATGACACATATTTTCAAAGTGGGAGAACTTTCGTTCCTTTATAGGAACCTGCGTATTCTCTGGGCCCAGGCTGAGAACCTGCAAGGGAACAAGTCCCCAGGTGGGGGTGGAGAGATCACGCCCAGCCCTTTTTGGGGGACGGTTGCTATTTCTGGGCTCTGTTGAGACCGGGGATTCCTGGGTGTTCACATACTCACTTCTGTTGTCCATCACGCAGAAACCCAACCCCTTTGGCCAAAAGTGGGACTGAGGCTGTACCCAGGCAGGTGGGCAGCAGGGCCTGATCTGGGACTAGTGGCCAGGTGATGTCCTAGTACCTGCCTGGAGGCTGACCAGGAGCTGGGCCGGGAAGGCCCCCAGAAGCCCTCCCTGGAGCCCCATGGAGCAAACGGGATATACCCAGATAGAAACAGACCCCACCAGCACAACGGTCTGGGTCCATGAGACTCTCGGGACTGAGTGTGCGTGGGAATAATCCGGGAAGTGCTTAGCAATGCAGACACCAAGGCCTCGCCTCACAACACTGGGTCAGTGGGTCTGGTGTGGAGCCCAGGAATCAGCATTATAGGACGATGCCCAAGGTAATTTCTAGTGAACAGGCTGTGTGTGGCCAGGCTTTGAAAGACCTCAAGCCCGGAGATGACAACAAGGGGAAAAGATCTTAATTGGACCTTCAGGCCTTGTCTCTGCTGTGGCACTGGGAGCCCAGTCATGGGCTGTATGACTGGGATGGAGTCCTAAGGGCAACCCAGGGGTCCCTACCCCAGGCCAGGTCAGGACATCATTGTGGCTGGGGGTCCCTTCAGGGCTGGCCCATCTGTTCAGTGAGGCCCAGGGTCCATCCCGGATCTGCCAGCATACCCATGCTGGAGCCCCAAATCCTTTGTTAAGCGATTTTGAGGCATTAGAACCCTAAAATGCAGAACTATCACTGCAAAAAACTAACCTGCTCTGCAAGCGAGGAAAGAGAGATGAGTTGCATTGTTTTGGGATCAGCCCTGGCAGGGGACGCCTCGGCCCTCCCATCATCCCCTCAGTGTTCCGCGTGCCCGCCAGCCACAGGCACATCATTCCACATCCTGCAGGCCCAGCACACACCCTGGGTTTGTAAAGTTCTTTGAGGGGTTTCCCAAACAGGGAATAGCAATGGCTCAGGAGAGTGGTAGCTGGCAGTGGTTACACAGGTGAGCCCTGGGGCCTGGCTGCCTGGGGTCCCAGCCAGCGCTGCCACTTGCTTGCTGTGTGACCTTGGGCTATTTACTTCCTCTCTCTATGCCTCAGTTGCCCCATCTATACAATGGGGCCAGGTAGATTACCTCATGGGATTGCTGCGAGGATAAAATGAGATACTGCAGGTAAGGCACTAGGAAGAGTGTTGGCAAGTAGCAAACTCTCAATCTCAATCCCTGTTAGGATTACCAAGGATTACTGTCTGTCTCTCCGTGCCGCGCTCTCAGCATATCCTGAGTGGTGGAAAGTGTCTGAGCATAGAGTTGAGTGTTATTGCAATACAATCTGTCACACACACACACACACACACACACACACACACCCAGAAGGGGACAGGAGAAGCAGCACATCTCTTCTGGAGCATGAAATTGATTTTGAGATGCCTTATCCGGGGAAACTGGCAAGAAGCTGGGGACCTTGTCCAGCAGAGGGAAGCTGAGCCCTGCTGTGTGGCACCTGGGCCTTGACAGCTCATCTTCCACTATTAGGCTTTGGCACCAAAGACCCTTCAGGCCCCTGGACTTAACCAAGCAGCCCAGGTTGGCCAGTGGAAGCTTCCCAGGAACAGAGACACCCTTGGGGAGGTTGGGGCGTGGACAGTACACCACCACCCACGCTGAGTGTCTGCTCTCTGGATAACTTTGCTGGGGCCTCGTGGGCTCTTTCTCACTTGATCTCATTACAGCCCCTCAGGGAGGAGGGGTCTTACCTGCACTTTACCCAAAATAAAAGGGAGGGAGGGAGGAGCAGTGGCTAACTTGCTTAAGGTCACACACAAGGAAGGGAAGCCAGGATTTACACTGGAAGGGGGATTCCAAATTCCCCGTCTTTCCTCTGTTCTAAAGGGAAAGGGGGTTGGCATGGGCGGCTGGGTTCTCCCTCCTGTGGGCCAGGCCCTGCTGTAGCTCAGAACTTACATCTACACACCTGGAGGTTGCTTCACTGCCTCCCACCATCTCTCCCCCAGGACTGTTTCCCCTGTGACCACCCAGTGAGACGCATGGCGGGGAGCCGCTCCCCAGCCTGCCACCACAGACTATGAGTCCTCTAACCATGTGGGCTGTTGCCAGTGCCATCCTCCCTCTCCGCTGGATGGGCACATCCCCCGGCCCCCTGCTGCCACCCACAGTCACCCTCCACCTCATCTGATGAGGGGCAGCCAGGCCCGGTTGCCACCACAATGGTCACCTACACGCAATGCTTCCCACATGTACATCTCCAGCACCAACCCCCTCCAGCTCCACCCCATACACCCAACTGCCCGCTGGGCACCTCTGGTCGGCTGTTCCAAAGGCGCTTTTTTTTTTTTTTTTGAGATGGAGTCTCACTCTGTTGCCCAGGCTGAAGTGCAGTGGCACGATCTCAGCTCACTGCAACCTCTGCCTCCCGGGTTCAAGTGATTCTCCTGCCTCAGCCTCCCAAGTAGCTGGGATTATAGGTGCATGCCACCATGCCAGGCTAATTTTTGTATTTTTAGTAGAGATGGGGTTTCTCCATGTTGGCCGGGCTGGTCTTGAACTCCTGACCACAGGTGATTCGCCGGCCTTGGCCTCCCAAAGTGTTGGGATTACAGGCATGAGCCACCGCGCCTGGCCTCCAAAGGTTTCTTAGACTCAACATGCCCTAGACTGAATGCAAGATCTTCCCCAAACCAGAAGCCAGTCACTCACCAACTCCTCCTGCCCCTCCTCCAATAAGGACCCATCACGAAGGCTGGTAGATTTTGCCTCCTGAACAGTTCTCAGATCCACACACCTGTCTGTCTTTACCGCCATCACCCTGGTCTTACCTGCTGTCCTTTCTCACTGGCACAGTGTAAAAGCCCCCTGTCTACCCAGGTCCACCACCAATGTGGACCAGGGGGCCATAGAGCAACTAGGATGCCCCTGTGGCCACGCCACATATCCTTGCACACCTCACCCCCACCCCAACCCCCACAGCGAACTCAACTCTTCCCACATCCTTGCCATGGACCTGCCAGCAAAGTCAGAAATGCATCCTGGGGCCGGGCACGGTGGTTCATGCCTGTAATCCCAGCACTTTGGGAAGCCGAGGGGGTGATCATTTGAGGTCAGGAGTTCGAGACCAGCCTGGCCAACATGGTGAAACCCCGGTCTCTACCAAAAAATACAAAAATTAGCTGGGTGTGGCGGCACGTGCCTGTAGTCCCAGTTACTTGAGAGGCTGAGGTGGGAGAATCACTTGAACCTGGGAGGTGGAGGTTGCAGTGAGCCAGGATTGTGCCATTGCACTCCAGCCTGAGCGACAGAGCGAGACTCAACCTCCAAAAAAAAAATGCATCCTGGGCTTTAAGCAAGGGGGCTTTGGAGAAAAAGACAAATAGAGACAGTCCCACCGCAGCAGGTTTTTAATGGGAAAAAATGCCCAGGAGGGACGTGAATGTCTCAGCAAAGAAACCCCAGGAGCCAATCTCAGATCCTCAGGAACAACAGAGTCACTGGAAAGAAGGAACGTGGCTGTGCAGGGACCTCTCTGATGAGCTCCGATTTTGAAGACATGCCCAGGAGAGGAAAGGAGATACCCTAACAGAGGATGAGTGCAGAAATGGGAAGCACATCTTATACGCAGAACGGGGCCCATGGGAAGCCTCCTAAAAACTTACAAGTAGCATTAGAAGGCTCTAAGTTTGGCTGTTGGCAACGGGCATCTCAAACCCCTTCCACAAGTGAGAAATTCACTGGTCTTTCACATAAAACCCTGCGCTCCGGTGGTCACGCTGCACCATGGGACTGTCCACGGCCCAGCCTCCTTCTCTCTGGATGCTCTGCCATCCTAGGGGCCACCTCCCCCTGCCAAGTCCCAGACAGAGAAAAAAGGAGGGGTGGGCACAGCACTTTCTCTTAAGGATGCGACTCAAGTTGCACAAATCACCTCTGCTCGCCTCTGGTTGACCAGAACTCGGTCACATGGTCTAGCTGCAAGGCAGGCTGGGAAGCGCAGCCTCTAGCTGGTGGTCATGGGGTGTGAGAACCATTCTCTTCACAGGGGAGCGGGGGTGAATGGAACATAGGGGGCAGCCAGCAGCCTCTGCCAACATATGGAATGTGAGGTCCAGAGAGGGTGTCTTGGCGAAGACAATGCAGCAGTTAACAGCCCATCCCTACCTGCCATAGAAGCCTGAAACTCCCCTCCCCACCCTGCAGCTGCTCCCCACAGCAGGTCTCTCTGCCCCACGTCCACAGTGGCCTCAACTCAGGGCCCTCATTTCTCTACTGAGCCTCTTTCTCCCAGTGCAGGAAGGCAGGATGAGGAGGGACAGAGAGAATGTGGCCCTCAGGGCCTCAGGAATCCATGTGGAGGTGCCAGGGCCAGAGGGGCTGAGTTCCTGGGGCAGAGCTGAGGCTGGAAAGGGCCCGCCAGAGCCCCAAGACCCAGGCCTCTGCTCACTGTCACCTCCTCTGGGACTTTGCAAACTCTGCCTTGAGCCCCTGCCCAAGGCCCATTCTAGCCCCTCATCTGTAGGGTATTATTTCTTCGCAGCAATCATGACCATGCGAAATGATTACTTCTCGCTTGTTTGCTGCTTGTTCATCTTGCACTTCCTCTGAGATCGTGAGCCTCGAAGGAACAGGGGCCTTGTCTCCTGTCCCCTGCTGTGTCTCTTGCATCTGGAACTCTCCATGAGACCCTCGTTAAAGTCCTACTCAAGCAAGGGCCCAGGGCCCAGGCTTAGATCATCCTCATCCTCTCCCTCCCTCTCCTCCTGCCTAGCCTGGTCACACACCCACACTGGCAGGGTGGGGGCTGGTCAGTAGGAAGAAGGGGATTAAGAGCGAGGGCATTGTGAACTCGTGCGGGGGTGTGGGCAGGAGGCACACAAAGCCAGCCCCTCGTCTTCCCTAGAAATGGCACGTGCAGGAAGGGAAAGGGTTTCTTCCAAGGCTGAGAGGAAGTCCACAGGGTGCAAGAGAACCAGAAAAGTCCAGGAGCTTCTCTGACCTTGCAGAGTCAGGTCAAGGAGACCTCGCTCCCTTAGGGCAGCCCCACATGGCAAGTGAGAGCTTCCTCCAAAATACCGTGTATGGCTAAGAAGGGCCCCCCATTGTGTAATTCTTGTTCTCTCCCCCTCCCTCCCTTTGGACCTGCATTATCAGAAACTCAGGAAACACTGGAAAACTCCTACTTACCCCTTAGCCCCAGCCCAAATGCCCACTCCAGCCTCAGACCATCTGCCACTGTCATCCTTCCCCATTTTGGTTGGATCTCAGGGGCTTGGACGGAGCCTCCATCAGCCCCTGTTCAGGTGCAGGCATCCCATATTATAGCCAGCACTCGCCTGGGATTCCCTCTGGGAATCAGACCCTCTGGGGTAGCTTCAGACCCTCTGGGGTGATAGCACCTCCCACCCAGCTCTGGTCACCCGAGTCCCGATAGACCCACTCCCCTGTCTGGAGAGCAGGGCTGGTACCTGCTTGTTTAGGAACAGGCTCCTTCCCAGGAGGCACTCCTCCCAGCTCAGCAGGACCCCGTCCCGACTTTGGGGTTCCCTCCGGCAGCAGGCCTCCGGCACCTCTTCACTGTCCAGGGTCAGGAGTCGAAACACAGATGCAAACTTAAAGTCTTCAGGCCCGTTGACCCCGCAGCAACCGAACTAGGGGGAGATCCCAGAGAAGGGTCTGGTGGGCAGGAGCAGGACACAGGGGCAGGGACAGAGAAGGACAGACAGCCTCTGCAAAGGAGTGGCATCAGAAGACTGGGCATGGGCTGGCTCCACCTGTCCCCACTGTGTGACCATGAGAAAGCCACTCAGCTTCTCTGGGCCTTCAATGTCCTCATCTCTATAACAGGGGTGGTAGTAACAATTCCTACCTCACCAGGCACTCAGCCCTGCATAAACAGTTGCTCTGGTTATTATCATCATCATAACGACCATTGCTTGGGGAGCCAAGACAGGGATAGCAAACAGGTTTCATCCCAAGTATGGGCTGTGGTCAAGTGTGCCTGGAATGCTGCGTGGATGCTGATTCCCAGGCCAGGTCTGATTACTGATGCCTGGCGTGGGCACGTGAACACTGGGCATCGTGGCTCTGAACATTCACAGCCTCTCTGGGGGGTCGCTCACTGTGATCATGACCGAGTTCCAGGTGGCGGAGAAGACGTCCGTGTCGTTATTGCCCTGGTAGTGCTTGGTGAGCTCCTTGGTGAAGAATTCTCGGGTGAGCTGGGGGCAGAGGGAGAAGATGGGCTGAGGCCTGGCAGTTGGGTGCGGCCCCCACCCTCCCTCGTCTCTCCATCCACCTGCTTGGGAGCTGGGGGAATCAGAGCTAGGGGCTCTGCATCGTGGTACCAGGCCCCCTGGGATTCTCCTAAACCACCAACTTGGGGCAGTCTCCTTACCCCCAAGGTAGAAAGGAAGGCTATACACATGCACACCTCATGGAGCTGAGGTCAGGGCGCGCTGAGGACCTCGCTCCGCCTGCAGCTCTGCCCAGAGGGAGGGCGTATCTGGGCGGGGAGTTTGCCCCTCATCCCACCCCTTCCACCCTGAGCTATTCCCCAGACAGAGCCAAGCAGACGCCCTGGGTCCCAGGCCCTGAAGAAGCTACAGCACCAGGCAAGAAGTCTTTGTACATCCATTTCGAGAAGAGTCCGTCTCAGTTTCTCTCAAAACATTCTCCTTCCCTCCGGCAGCAGTGAAGGGCGAGGGCCCTGGGTGGTGCTTAGCAGAGGAGACCATCTGGGCACATGTGTCTGCCCACAGGCTGTCGTGGCTGCCTCCTCTGCTCCGTGCTGACCACCCTCCCGGCCTGCCTCCTCTACCCCAGGGCCATCTTGTGTCTCCTGTTCCATTGCCCCTCCTCCTCTCTCATCTTTCCCCCTCCCCCTACCCCCGTCTCCCTTTGGCTATTGCCTGGCTCTTGTCAACTCAGGGGTGGCAGCTGGCAGGCTAGCTGCCTGTAGCCTCTGGAACTTGGTGGCCTGTGAGGCCAAGGTACCCAGGAGGATACCAGCCAGGACCTCCTCCGAGGGCAGTCTGCCCTGTGCTCCTACATTCCAGGGCTTGGGATAGCCTCTCTGACTATTCTTATGGGGTTGTACCAGATGCTTTGGGAGCAGAGAAAAGCCCTTGCAGGAACAGGCTTACTGGGGTCTCTCTCTGGCCTGGGGGGGCCTTGCCAGGCAGGTGGGGCCATGACTTGGGCTGGAAGTGCCAGATGAGAGGCTGCCCACTCTCTGAGACCCTTCAGTGAGGGGAGAAGCCAGACCTGAATGGCCACCAATCTCTTCCTAATAGCAGGAGGCAGGAAAGCTTGGGGCCTGGTACGTACATTTTCCCTGAAGATGAAGGCCAGGATGGCTGCTGAGAGCTCCGCCAGGAAGATGATCAGGATGAATAGGAAGAACTGCAGGGAGAGGAACAGGCTTGTGAGCCCAGAGGGCAGGCAGGGGATGGGGCGGCCACTGGCCAATGCAGTCGTCCACCTGTCATACCGGTGACGCAATATACTCATTTTATAAGATTAAGACACTCCACTGCTATCAGTCAGACATTTTTCATAACAAATACACCAGTGATGCCTCCTTGGAGTCAACAGGATTGTGATCAAAATATGAAAAGAATAAACAAATATATACATTCCATGCAAATGGTACCCTTAGAGAGGCTCCTTGTACAGTGTGCAGCCTGAACAACCCTACTTAGCCGCCCTGGAAGGAGATCGCTGATGAAACCCGTTTGAGCCCATTCTGGGTAAATTTCCTTCTGTGTGGGTTGTACGGGCTGTGAGAATCCTGAGTGCCTTGGGGATCCGCAGCTGGATTTCCCCACCTTGCCAGCCCCAGGGCCACCTCTCCCTGCCCCACTGCCTCTGGTTCCCATGGGAAGTGGGGAGGTCACATTAACCTTCAGCCAAAATCCAAGGAAAAAGACTGGAGGGAAGGTGGTATGACTACCAAATCTCAAAACCCAGGGGCCAGGAGTTGGCTGTCTAACACAGGCTCCTGTTCCACTCACTGAATGTGATGTTCCCTGAATGAACCACAGTGCCTCTCATTTCGGCGACCTCGACAGGCTGTGTTACCTCGGCCAGGAAGGCACTGCCCTTCCTTGCCTACCAGTTCTGCATTTCTCCAGATCAGGTGAAGCCTCAGCCCCTCTCCTGGGCTCCCCCACACCACAGCGCCCAGTAGAGGTGCCTGCACGGCATTAGCACAGGGGCTGTCACTCAGTGCGCTGCCTGCTCGGATGTCTGGGTCAGCACAGGTGTTGACGCAGGACTCTTAGATGGATGAATGAGCCCCGGGTGAAGCACTCGCCTTCAATGAAGGCCCTGTGACCTGCCACATCACCCGCCCTGGTCATTGTGTGGGTTCCTTCGGGCTGAGAGCTGTCAACAGAAGAAACTGGCTTTGCCTTCATTACTCAGCATAGCTGGTGCCCTTGACAAAGTCCGTTGTCACCCTACCTGGAAACCACCAGCAGAGGACTTTATCCCTGGCACACACAGAGACTGGTTCTTCCATGCCCTCCCAGGCACCTAGGCAGCGGCCAGACCTGCTCTCTGGGGTCCCAGTCATCAGGACTGCCTGCCTGTCCCTGACGTGCCAGGCTGCAAGGAGGCAAAGGGTGTTGGGCTTCAAGTCAGGACACCTCAGGGCCCGCCTTGTCTGTCCTCGCGTGTCATGGGACAATCACTCAAACAAACCCCTTCGAGCCTCAGTTTTCTTGCCAGAAAAATGGGGATGTGGAGACCCACTTCCGGGGTTTCCCTGTGGGGAATCAGGAGGAATCTGAAAGCGTTTCCTCTGTTGGAAATGAGCCCAAGCTGAGCTCGGCACTGGGCTCTCATGTGCAGAAGGGCAGCGAATGTGGGCCACGAGCAGGCTCCTCTGTGACCTCCTAGGCCCGGCTCCTGGTGAGGCACTGGCCTCCTCGCAGATGCTCTGTGGGCTGCTGACAATACCTTTAGGTGTCTCTCTCCCGGAATGTGCCTCTTGTGGTCAGAGGAAGATTTCTGTCACTTTATCCCCACCCCAGGGAGACCCCAGTCCAATTCCCTCCCTGACTCCAGTACCCACAGCGGCTGCCTTCTAGGGGACCTGAGGCTTCTCCAAACTGCATGGGCCGGGGACCACCTTAGTGAGAGCCTCGGGAGGGCTGTAGAATCTGTCCATTCCGCACACGGACATAAAACATCTCTGAGGCCTGGTAGGCGGGTTTTAGTTTTTTTAAATGTCCAAACCTAAGGAGAGCCCCTTGCTTCTGCAGAGCAGCCAGCCTGCGGTGGGGATGTGTCACTCCTCCATCCTGCATTGCGCTGGCTGGCCTCTGTCCCCAGCCACCACGTCAAGTCTGCTTCAGCCCTCAGATGCACCGTGGGCCCCTGAGCCCCTGAGGTCTCACTGGGCTCCAGCTGCTCCGACATAGGCTTCTGCTGTCACAGGGGACTGCCAGGCACCGGACGCTGTTCTCACGGTCTCTTTTCTGTGTAGTTTCCCCCTTTTCGAAGTTGAGGAAGCTGAAGCTGGAGAAGGGAAATGACTACTCCACAGGTGCAGAGCTCTTCGGAGCTTTGCAGAGAGAATGCTTCCCTCCTGGCCCAGCTGCCTTTTCAGAGCGCCAGGCTGCGTCTGCTCCCTGATGCAGGGTGTGGCTCGGGCATTGCTCTGTCGCTGTCTCTTCTGAGCCCAGGAGTCTGCCTCCACAGCTCAGTAGGGTCTGCTGGGTGGCCTGCCTGGCACATCTGGATGAGGGACACCAGGCCAGATGCTTGTGTGCTCCCTGAAGAGGGGGCTGACCTCCAGCTGAGGTCAGGGAGCAGAGTTCCCCAACCAGAGCAGAGTGTGATGAGGGCGGAGCGGGGGGAGCCTCCTGTGCCCCAGGTCACAATGCCCATGGTCCATTCTGCCACTCCCACAATTCTCATTTCCAGGAGGATGGGGGGCTCTGGGTTCAGTGGCCGCTGAGTGATGTGTTTTCTGCCTCTGCAGCCTCACCTCCCCTGTGACAGTGACGGAGGCCGCTGGCAGGGATCCTGGCACTTCCATTTGACTGGTGATGGATGGCCATCCACTTCCATTACACGGGGCCTCATGAGGAGCCCCTCCCTGCCCTCTGTCCTCTCACTGGAGCTACTGGCAGATCCCCAGGCTGGCAAGGAGCAGCCTCGGAAATGGTTTCCATCCACGGCAATGAGCTGGAGCTGGCGTGCCCACCAGCCTCGGCCTGGACAGTGATAAATAATGGACGAAGCAGATCGCAAGCCTCATGCACTCTGTGTGCCCGTCACTCTGGGACGTGTGTGTGCCGTTCAGGATGACTGCGCATGGCTTCCAGGAGGTAATGCAGGTGCAGTGCTTCTCACAAGACTGGCATGACATGAGAGCTGCTCAGATGGTTACTTAGAGCCCAGAGGAAGCACACCCCTCCCGAAGACAAGTGCTGGTGTGGGCGGCTCTGGAAAAACAGCAACAGCTACCTGCTGAGTCCTTGCTACCCAGACACTGTGGATCTTACATGGATCATCTCATCAAGCCCTCTCATCTATTGAGACAGATGCTGTTATCAGCAACACCCCCATTTTACTGACAGGGGATTGTGGCTGAGAGGAGCAGTACTTGGCCCAAGCTGGCATAGCTGGTGGGTAGTACCTCTGGGACTTCACCCCAAGAACTCTGATTGCGGAACACAGCCTCTCATCACCATGTTACCCTGGAAGCCACGGGAGCCCCGAGGTCTTACGGTTTCCACACGGCCTGCAAAGCCTCCTGAGGCTCAGCACCAATGCTTCTAGTTTCCCATTTATAGAGTGCTTAGGCATCCCACAAACAGAGCCAAGCAAAACATGCATTTCCCACTGGTTCATGAACACAACACTACCACTGGGAAGGAAGTATGATTATCCTCATTTTATATATGAGGAATCTAAGGTTCAGAGTGGTTAAGTGAGCAGCCCCAGGTCATACAGCCAGGAAATGGCAGAGCAGGAGTTAGAGCCTGGGCTTTTCTGACTCCAAAGTCTATGCACTTAGCCAAACCTCTGATACCACCTCCTCTCTGTTCCTTGGCTCCAGAGCTGTTTATTGAGCACCTGCTCCATGCCAGGCACTGTGCTAGGTATTGGCAAATAAATGCATACAAGGCAGACTCAGTCCCCATCTTCATGGAGTTTCCATTGAGCTGAAGCATCAGGAGATGAGATATAAAAATAAACCTGGGAAGCCGTGGACTGGAGGAAGTGGGCCTTCCCAGGCACAGGGCCTGGGCGTGACTTGAGTATGTGGGAGTGTGAATCAAAGTGCAAGGCCGCGGTGCCCACGGCAGTCACAATGCCACTTCTGCCAATTCGCCCTTCTCCAGCATGAAAATGTCCTCCTGCTTAAGACTATTTACCAGTGTTAAAGTTCTTTGGGGAATTCCCCTGGACCCAGACATTCTTGGGGCTTCCCCTCATCAAGGCCTTTCCCAGGGTTTGCATCCCATTTGCCTAAGGACACAATTGTCAGCCATTTCTGATCCTCTAATTTGCATCACTTTCCCTAGGATGGAAAAATTAGCAAAGGGGAGGAAACTGCTATGTTGCCTAGTTGGGAATATTTCCAGGCTTTTCTAACCCATCTGCTTACAGGCAATGTCTGCTCACAGTTCCCCTGTCTAATAAATATTTACCAAATTTACATACCGCATGTACAATTCAGCTCATTTATCTTTTCTGAATAGACTCATCTCTTTTTGCTGTTCTTTTTTCCAGTTGAGCTTGCCTTCATTGTAAAATACTTTTAAAATTAGAATTTTTAGATAAGTTGGCTTAAAAAATCCTTGAAATACTCAAAGGTGAGCAAATGGGAAAAAGGGATGCCACAAATTTTCAATAGGAGGCTGAAACTGTCTTATTGCATGTGAGTGCTATCATACTGATCAATGCAAGTATTTGGGAAATGGATCTTTAGATAGATAAATTGATCACAGGGTGGTTTGGTCATTAGACTGATTGTCCCCAGGTCCTGTGGGACTTCAGTTTCAGAGCAGAGGGAAGGGACCCTCAGCCCCATCTCAAGGCTTCCTTGCTTTGCGAACCTTTGAGCCAGGTTTCCTGGACTGACTAAAGTCACTCTTTTGGCCCCTCTCAAGACAAGCCTTTTCTCCTTTCCAACAGGCTGGGAAGGCAGTGAAAGGCTTCTAGAAGGATCCCAGAAGCTGCCAGGGGTGAGGCTCCATGCCCTCTTCCGTTGGAACCACCACACAGTTAGGTCCAGGTTCAGCCAGGAAGGGAGAAGTGGTTTTTTTTTTTTTATTTTTTAGGGCATAAACCTTTTTGAAAACCTTCCAGAAATTTTGGTGCCTTTCTCTGGAAATACTCACAGAACCCCCTAACCCCCATGCAGGCAATACACATGGACACACAACACACATGTGCACACACAGGCACATGTCCACATGCATACATATGTGCACCCATGCACGCACAACACCCACGCACGCATGACACCCACGCACATGTAACACCCATGCATGCCTAACACCCATGCACATACAACACCCATGCACAAAGCAATGCACACATGTGAACACAAGCACACACAATAGAACACAACATACATGCACATACAACACACATGCAAATACACATGAGTATGCACACAATCCACGTATATACAACACACATAAACAGGCCCTGCCATAACATTTTGCACATAATTTTAGGTAAACTTTGGAGTCCGTTCCAGGTTAGGAGCCTGTGGATGGCCCTGGTCTGGGAGCCGGAAGACCTTGATCCAAGCGTCCTCTGCCTCTGACCCACACTGTGACCTCAGGCTTGTATGGGTGGGGCCTTAGAGAGGGGAGGGCAAGCAGAGGAAGTGGAGAGAGACAGGGTAACAGGGAAGGGAGAGATCAGGACAGGGACAAGGAAAGGGCGTAGGAATAAAAACAGAGACCAAGAGAAGGACAAGGCCAAGTGTGTTGGTGCCCGCCTGGAATCCCAACACTTTGGGAGGCCGAGCGGTGGATCTCTTGAGCCCAGGAGTTCAAAATCAGCCTAAGCAACATGGCAAAACCTTGTCTCTACAAAAAAAATACAAAAATTAGCTGGGTGTGGCGGTATGTGCCTGTGGTCCCAGCTACTCAGGGGGCTGAGGTGGGAGGATCACTTGAGGCTAGGAGGTTGAGGCTGCAGTGAGCCGAGATCACACCACTGCACACCAGCTTGGGCCACAGACTGAGACCCTATCAAAAAATAAAAAAGGACAGAGATGGGAAGGACAGAGGCAGAGAGGAAAGAAAGGGAGCTGCACAGAGATAGGCAGAGGAAGGGGGACAAAGGGAGAGAGACGGGGTCAGGAGGGGAGGGGAAGGGTCTGCCATCAGGCCTTGTCGAAGGGCCCCCAGCCTGGCAGCCAGGATCAGCTCTCTCGGGAGGATCGTGGACACATTTCCTATCCCTGGGTCTCAGTCCTGCCTCCCATAGCATGGGAGGGAGGACAGCCTCGGGTGGCTGGCAGGTTTGCAGGCAGCCACTTACTGGAGGAGACTGGAGCCGCCCCAGCCTGGTCCCAGCCAAGAACACCAGCCTGGCTTCCTGTCTTGGCTTCAGAGCCGAACCCATTAACAATGAATGAGCCCCTGGGGGCCGAGGTGAGGAGGGGGAAAGGGAGGCTGGGTGTGTCCTGGGACCCATATCCCAGCTCCTTTTAAAGTCCGCTCGGGCTCCCCAGCCAAGACTTCTGCAAGCACCGTGACAAGCAGTAGAGAACTGTCCACCAGGGGGCGCTCACAGTTTTTCTTTGTTTCGCTTCAAATGAAGTCTGTGGTGGTTGCGCTGTTGTAGGACACATGGGCCCAAGGCTCCCTGTCACTCATTTGGCAGCTGACTTCACTTCCTTTGGATGGGGGGCATCTCACCGGGACATGAATGGGGCCGTGCAGTGTGCTGTCACCTGGGGAGCGAGGTTATGGGTGCTAGGTCTCTCCTCCAGCGCTGCTGGGCTGGTTTATCCACAGATTTTTGCAAGGGAGCCTCCAGCCAACCAGCCCAGTTCTGCCCTGTCATTTAACTCGGCCACCGAGTTTCCACACGGGAGCATCCGCAAGTTGCCCAGCCAACATCCACACTTCTCTAAACAGGGGCTGTTTTTTTTTTTTTTTTTTTTTTTTTTGGAGATGGAGTCTCGCTGCTGCTGCCCAGGCTGGGAGTGCAAGTGGCCGGATCTCAGCTCATGCTAGCTCCGCCTCCGCGGGTTCACGCCATTTCTCCTGCCTCAGCTCCTGAGTAGGCTGGGTACAGGGCGCGCCGCCACTGCGCCGTAGTTTTTTGTACTTTAGTTAGAGACGAGGTTTCACCGTGTTAGCCAGGATGGTCTCGATCTTCCTGAGCCTCGGTTGATCCGGCCGTCTCGGCCTCCCAAGAGCTGGGATTACAGGCTTGAAGGCCACCGTGCGCCCGGCGCCTAAAACAGGCTGGTATTTTAACTTACCTGTAGCAGGACTGGCTCAGCCCAGAAGTTCTCCAAGTCCAGGACCTTCTTAGGAGGAGAGAAGGAACCCACCCGCCGGAGCACAGGAAAGCAGGGTGGAGACCCCAAGGCACCACTTGCCCATTGGGGAATCAAAGGAGGGACCAGAGAACTAGAGGACGCATCTGCCTGGTTCTGGTTTGGCTGTGATCTATACTGAGCGCACAGGCCCATCATTTACAAGAAGGACTCGGCTGCTCTCTGGGAGGTCAGGGAAACTAGACGGGAGCCCGCACCCTGTAGCGGGGATGGAGCAGGGAGGA